TTAACTCGACTCGTCTGAAACTCTACATTTAGTAATACATTATTAGTATGTTATAAAGCTGGTAGTATACATCTATTATGTCCTATGGTAAAATATTTATACAAAGTGCATGTTTGAAATGCATTTTCTCGTCAAAGACTGATTAGGATTGAATTATTTACAGGAAATATGAATTCTGAAAAATATTGTAAAATTCTTTAATCTCAGCTTATTTCTAATATTCACAGTGTTGGCTATAGGTAGCGCTTCTAATAAGATAATATATCAACCTATACAGCAGAACGCACTCAACAATTTTTCGTGATAAATAATGTTCTAGTAATCGATTGGCCTGTAAACTCCTTTGATTTGAATCCAATTGAGAATTTATAGACCATTCTTAAACGAAAAGTGAAAGAAAGGGTTAATAATTGGATTAGAAAAAAAAAGTGCTTAGTGCAATTGCTTTTCAAGGCATAATTTGGCAGGAATAGGACAGTATTGATCAAAATGTTTTCTTTAATTTGACGGATAGTATATCAGGTCAGATTAATAAAGTTATAGAAAAAAAGGGCTTACAATTAATTATTAATTTTTTTTATTTTGTTAATCTGTATATTATAACCTATGAATAGCATAAATATGAAACTAATAAAATAAGATTTATAATATTTTTATTTGTCATGATAAATTTCAGATATTTATGTTGTGAACTGTAAAACTATTTATTCATTATTTTTTATTTCAATATGTAGTATAAATTATAAGCTTAAAGGTGAATCTTTGAAAAAATTACAAAATAGAATAAAAGATATCTAATATATTATCATTGATAAAATGAGTATGATAGGTCATCACTTTCTTATTCTAATTAATTTGAGACTGTATCAAGTATTTTCATATTATTCTAATTAATACTTTGGTAGCTGATTTATAATTCTTGTTAGTAACTTCAGACAACTTTTTCTAGTGTGTGATCTTTCTATGTATTCTTAGGATCATTGACCATCAGATTCTATATCTGAAAATGAACGTAATATCTATAGCTAATTCTAAGAAGTTTATAAACTTGAAGCTGTATAATGATAAATTAGTAATTCAGATGAACAATGTCAATTCAGAAATCTTTTATTTTGCTTACATAATAGAGCATCTATACAATCTGATTGAGAATTGTTAATAATGCAAATTTCAGAAAAACTGTCAGAACTAAAGTGAAAAAAATTTTCAAATGCTATCAACATTCTTACAATATAAGAAGAAGTCAATAGAATTAATGCTAATAAACTTGGATTATTAAACCAACCTGTTGCTAGAATTCAAGCAGTTCATATAGGTAGCACTGAAGCTTTAAAGGCTGATTCAGATACAGTAAAAGGTCTTAAACCTGAAATATTGTTAGCCAGAAATACACGTATAATGCTTACCTCAAATTTTTGGATTAATACTGGTCTTGTGAATGGTATAATGAAAATAATAATAGATATATTATATAAAGAGAAACCTGAGCACACATCATTACCAACTGCTATTTTAGTTTTCTTTAATCAATATCATAGTCCAACTCTTACAAACATAGATGAAATTCTGGTTATATCTATTGTTCCTATATAACGCATATGAGAAGGTAAATCTAGTATTTGCTTTTAACTACAACTTTCACTTTCTCTTTTGTGAGCCATTTCAGCTTACAAATCACAAGATCTAACTTTACCGAAAGCAGTTATAAATTTTGGCAAGAGGAAATTCGCTGCTAGTTTATCATTTGTAGTAATTTTTCATATTCATTCTTTCAATGATATTATTTTTAAGCAGTTTGATTTTAGTAGAATTAAGCGCATAAAAAACTGTAAAATGTTAAAAGAACGAAAAAAGACTAGCTGAAATGGAAACGATCTAAATTTTTTGCAAAAAAAATTTTTTGCTTTTCATTATTTGGCGAAAAATTACGTAATCTACAATTATATTATGTGATTTACACTAATGTTATGCAACTTTTAACACAAGTATTACGCGATCTTGTATATTTTTGCTTTTAGTATAAAGAATTATTTTATTTTTTTTTTATTTTTTTAGTTTATTTTTAGTTTATTTTACATAATCATGATGTATTTTCAAAAAAGAAAAATAAACTGATGATTGTGACAGAAACAAAAATAGGGGTTAAAATAAATTTTGTTAAATCATCACAGTAAATAGTCCTTTGCTAACGCTTCAGACAATAATTCAAAATTATTTTCAATAAAAAATTTTCTTATATAGGTAAAAAATCGATTAGTAAAATTGCTTAGTTGATAAGTAATCTAATTTTTTTGTTAAACCTTTTTGGAAGAACATCAATTTTTAAAAAATTTTTTTTTAAGCTATTTATGATCAAGAAATTGAAATTTATTTCATAATATAAATTTTTTAATAAATGATTCTAAAGTTATAAAATTATTTATTTTTACTGTAATATACTAACAAGTTCAATAAATTACAAAAGAAATTATAAAATAATAAAAAAATATATTTAAAATTCAATTGGTTTGTTTTTTTAAAAAATTAGTAGCAATATGAAATATATACTAATTTCTAGATTACACGTGATTTTTTTTTTGGCCGGCATTATTGAATTTGGCTGAAAGTAACGTGATGAATGTGATAAACATCTATTTCTGGCAACAGAAAAGTTAAAAATACTCAAACTCTGACCTTACCTATAGTTATATACTTTAAGAATCTTTACCTACTTATGACTTCTAAAGTTTTTAAAACCAGAAAAGATAATAGTTCTCGAAAAGAAGTTGAAAAGGTTGTTGCTATCGAAATAAAAAGAAAGTTGAAAATGGAAAAAAAAAAGAATCAGAAGATAAAAGATTCTAGAAAAGTTGAAATAGAGGAGAAAAAAGGTTAGTTAAGATGGCTTTTCACATTTTAAATTTCAAACGAAGTTAGAAAAAAAAAAGTGGTTGTAAAAAATGGAACTTTTGAAAAATGAGTTCTAGAAAGTGAGAATGAAAAGATTGACTTATTATACTTTATAATATTCCGGTAATTTAGGAATTTATTTTCTCGAGATGAAAAATCCTCGGATGCTAACGCTTATGCACAGCGTAGTAAGAAAAGAGCATCCGAGTTACGGTATGCATAGAATTGTATATCCAGGAAATGCTTGGATATAAAAAGACACGATATGCTACCTTTTATTGGAACTATTGATCAGAGAATACAATGCTAATCAATCAACATATCATGTTATTCTCTGATTGTTATATTATTCTTCCGGACAAAGGTTATGAAAACCTCCTTCAATTAATGTTGCAGGTCATTGTGGGGTCTGTGAAAAGTCATAAAGGTTGTCAAAGTATTATCAAATATGGTGTACATAGTAGTTTTATATTATAAACGAGATGCAAATATTATCTAACGAAGTAGAAGTAGTTATTACGATTTTTATAGTTAAAATAATTATAATAGCTTATATTTGTTAAATTTATTAGTTTGTTTTTTTTTTTTTTATATATCTTAAAGCGTGTTTATTATCAAAATAAAGCATTTCTAAAATCATAAACTCGAAATCATTTTCATTTAATAATAAATTGTTTTGTAGAAGTTGAACTAACGAAATTGCAATTTTACGCCCAGATCTAATATTATAAAATATAATAGCACAATTAAACTTTAAAAATGTATATTTATACAAGTTTTCCATCATGAACCACATAATACAAAGACGATTCAAAGAAGCAAAAGAAGCATAAGTTCAAAAAATAATCTTGTTGTTTAAATGAATGTCTACTAAAGATCAAAAAAAATTTCATTAAACAGTAAATGTTTAAGCAGATTGAGCACAAATATCATGAATTTGCTTTTTGAATTTGATTTATTAGTTACCAAATGATAGTAAGTTTCAAACAAGTTATTAGCTTTAATTCCTTCATTATAACATAAACAATTAATAAATTTGTTTTATTATTCGTTTAATTAAATGCTCTTGAACATTAAATGGAAAGTAAATAAGCTTGCATTACCTTTACTTGATCTTGCCGAACTTACATCACAGTCATCTCCTAAGGATATTAAACTTGTAATTCATTTTCAAATACTCCCCTTACTAGTAAAACCTATGCTTTTTGTGATTGCCAACTGTAATTCCCGCTTCTTCACAAAATATGACAGTTCATCTCTTTCTATAGGAAAAATTAACCTATAAATAGGTTTTTTTTTTTTAAAAAAAAAAAAATTAAATTAAGTATGAATTTTTTTGACATAAACAAGTAAATTTTTTATGCATAATTAAAATATTAATATACCCAATCCTTTGTTGCGCATGAAATTTCTCTCTAATCTTAAGTCTCAGACAATCCACAAACTATAATTAATTTTACCAATACTTGATTAAGAATCTTTCTCTTGTCTGTTGAAAACAGCAATTAAACATTCTGCATACATTTTCGGTAGCTATAACATGGGAGCAGAAGGAAATAATGAAGAAACAATAAAATTTATAATTTGGTCACGCATGTTTAAAACATTTCGATGTGAGGGGATCGAAATGCTAGCATAAATAGATAAACATTTGACAATCAATATTAATTAGAATAAAATCAGTAAATTCAAGACAAATAAAAAATAAATTATTCTACCAGGTGATAGATGAACTATTGTGTCTTCAATTTTGGCTCCGGGAATGCCAATATCTGGAACATGTGTAAATTGGAGGTGGGTTCTCGGAACCGGAATTTTTCGGGGCTTCGCCGGTCAATACATTTATGATACCAATTAAGCTCTGATGACGACAAGGAATCGGATTCAGCACCGAGAAATACTGGGGGGAGGGGGGATAAAATTAAGATAGTAACTAAACCCGTTCGAAAATTAGTTAATAAAATCAATTAGAAAGAATTTCAATCTTACTGTCATGCTGCAAATTCCACTTAACGCAACATTTTAAATTTTTTCTTAACAGAAAGTCAAATTCTTGATAATATAAATTTTTACAAACTTGATCATTTTTCTTTGAAAGTCCAGCATCATCCTTATGTAAAAGCCATGTCCTCAAGGGGTCGTTTTCGCTTATTAGTTTCTGTTATATTGACAATAAGTTGAGAATCACGAATATCATATAATGGTTTGATACCAAATCCAAATAATCGAGGACCAGAAAGTTTGGTTGATAATTTTTGATTAATTTTCTAATCAAAGAATATTAAATTAATTATATATAAATCATTATATCTTTGTTAATGAAAAATAAATTAAATACCTGTAAAAAAGTGTTGACTCCTGTTGTGGAAGATTTTGTGCTACTAAAACTCCACTTTGCAAGACCCTCCTCCTTCCAATTAATTGTATAACAAACTTTCACATCTAATACGCCGCCCAGATATCTCTGTTTCAATTATATAATTATTAGGAAATGGATATTGAGGAGTATTGTTTTTAGATGTATGGGTTAATTTTGGTGTAGTAGGATAAGTTCAACATTATTAATATGAACGATAAATTCGCCCATTTGACCGGTAATGTGCTAAAAACAGACTGGAAAAAGTATCTATTAATTTAAAAGATTTCATTAGAATTTTTCTAATACAATTAAAAAAAAATTTACTAGAAACTTTCACTTTCTGGCGTAATAGGAATGGTTGTTTTTGCCATTTTGTATTTTGAAACAAAAATAGTTTCGCTAAGTAAATTTTGTAACCTTCAACCTGCTATCTATTAAATCCAAAAAAAAAATACCTTTCAATTCCCGACCAAATTCCGAACAAGTTTCAAAGTTGCAAAAATCTAGTTTCGAAAGTATTGTTTATTATCTTGATCGGCAGTCGATCAAATTCATAATTATCACTAAAATTTAATTAGTGATATGTTAATTTATCATAAGAATTCACCAGTTCATTTATAAGTGATCCTTGAAATTTTCATGTGCTACCTTTTCAAAAATTTTGAGATGGATGTTAAATTATATGCTAAAGAAAGATCGTGATAAAGTTTATTTTGGTGGTTTCTTTTCATTGTTAATTTTTGAGATTAAGAATTATCTTTACCTAAATAATCGGAACTTTTAAAACTACACGTGTACCAACTACTTTGGGCTTTAAGTCATTTCATTGCGTCATCTATAAGTAAATATTTCCGACTAATCAATTAAACAACTTACCTAATGATGCTTGCAGTTGTGAAATTTAAATAAATTTTCTTCATTTTTACCAAAATTCTTTATTTTTGTTATTTTCGTTATGTAAAATATAAAATATTTTTTAGATTAATGTTCGATCTTGAATTTAAGAATTTTATAGTAGATCAATTCTGTTTTAGTACATATACCCAAGCCACAACAGAGGGGTAAATTTTATTTACTAATTCTTTTATTATCAAGATGTTTTATGGTCATTACAGTTGTGCTTGGATCATTAAAGTTTTAGAACCTAAGATCCCATTATGGACCTTGATGATTGCAGTTCAGGTTAATAAATTTATTTATTTATTTATTTTTAAAAAAAAAAATAACGTTAAATTTAAACAAATTTAGTTCGTTGATTTCTTATTTTCTTTCTTTATTTTAATTGAGATAGAAGAAGGTAATTCAAAAAAAAAATTTTTTTTTTTATGATCAAACTTTTGACCTGATATTCTTTTTAAGCCCACATTGTTCGTGGATATACAAAAGTAAATGATTTAAAATTGGTTTCTATTCCATATACTCACTCTTTAATCGCCGTAATTGGATGGAGCATATTATATGGATCATGGTATAGATTTTCTGGTTATGATGGTGGAAATCGTGCCGCGTACTTGATAGGATTGGCTGTGCTTTCTCATTGGTTTGAAGATTTGTTGGTCCATAATGAAGGTAAAAAAAAAAATTGTTACTCCTTTTTTTCGGTAAAAAAAGATAATAATAACTTTTAAAAAACAAAAAAAAAATAGATTTATTATTATTGACGATTGATGATAATGCACCAAAATATGGATTCAAATTATGGGATTATCCCGAAATACATCATCCATTTGAATTACTATTATTCTTTGGTTCGTTTTACTATTATTTAGTAAATACTGAAGTACATCCATCAAAAATTTATTCAGCACAAAATGATCAAACAAGGGAAATTACTACAACAATCTCGAATTTAACTAATAAAACTACTAATCATCATGAAAGATCACAAAATTATTGGGCTAGCAAATGGGGTTCGATTATATTATCGGTAGATTCTTTCTTGACCATTTCTGGTGGGTTTGTACCTCCTCCTGAAAATTGTAAATTATTATGTATTATTATGATTTTTTTATTTTTGAAAATTACCTATCTTGCTCATCAATTGGATAAAGTTAGGGTTCCTAAAAATATATTAACACAAGTAATTAAAAAAACTAGCTGATTTTTTTTTTTTTTCCTCCTTTTGGTAAATAATAATGTAACATTTTTAAAAGTAAAATATGAATCAAACACAATACTATTTATGTTTCATGTATTGTTAACATTGTTAATTAAGGATCCATGCATTGTTCTATTACCGGTATTTACCGGTATTTTAAGGATCCGCACTGTGAAACCCATATGGTCACTTCCATTATGTCACCTGTGGGCTGTCGATCGTTATCACCTTGTTTATTGGTCCAATTTCACGTGATGAACGACAAATACGAACGAAAAAAATTTTAAAATTTTCGTTCAAGAGGAAAAATTTTATTATTTTAATCACAACTTTATATAATAAATAAGAATCTTTTGCAATTCATTTAAAAACAAACATTATATCTATTTTTACAATGTAAAATCATTAAAAATGATCACATGAAGACTGAGAAATCACGAAAACTATAATTAAATAATATAATTCATTCAAAAATCATTATCCGAGCTTTCTATGATCCAATTTGAATAATTTTTAATCTTCTAAGAGAGCAAATATGACATTTTCTAATATCACTAAAATTGTCTTAATCCAACATGTTAATCTATATCTATAACTATTTCATAATCTTGTCATGATTATGAATAAAACAATAATAAAAACGACCTTTTTTTTTAGGATCTTTCAATGCCATTAAGAATAAATACAGGAGGAATATTATTTTCATTTTTTTCGGCATTTATAAGAGTTATTCTGCCATAACCTTTCTAATATTTAAATTAAGTAACTTTATAATTCCGAAACCATTTCCCGACAGGTTTCAAGATTGCAAAAAAGTTTATCTGTAATTGGAATGTCGATCGACAATCTAAAAATAGAAATTTGTATAAAAAGCATCCCCAAATCACCCAAATTCATCAGAGCTGTGCTCCATCAAAATAATATGAAATCTTTTTTTTTTATAGTGATTTCAACTTTTTTAGTATTAATAAATCCATTATTCGTTCATTCTTATAAAACATTTTCGTATAATGAAACGGAGCCAGGATATCAAATTTATCAGGTGTTAGCTTATCGGGATGGAACTTCGGTGGTTTACCTGACTAAACCTATAAATGAGACCTGCAATGAACCAAGAATTGATCTTCGCATTATACATCCAAATGGCACAGTCGATAAAGTAGAAGTGGATTATCCAATCCCAGATTTTAATTTTTGTCTTTTACCAAATGACACATATTTACATATTGCGCTTTTTCCCCATATGCCAGAATTTATCTACATTCTTTATGAAAACTCCACTGATTTAAATTCGGCAAGTTATTATACATTACTTGTTACTCGCACCGGAAAAATCATCAGGTATATAAAACGATAAAATATAAACTACGATTATAGATTTATGTATCGGAATTGACTGACGCTTACATATATTTTTGTTTCCATTATTTAATAGCAATACATTTCTCTCACATGTTTCTGTAGAAAATGGAACATTAACTAGCTCTGGATTTATGATTCCACACTCTAACGATGAACAAGGCTTTCTTTTCTATGATTATATAAATGAATCCAAACTGAAATGGATTTACTTTAGTCCGTAAGTTCGTAACTTTTAATTATAATGCTAAAAAATCAAATTGTAACATAAATAAATATTTTGATCGTTTTCTTAGGTATTCGAATGGAAACTTCAAAGCAATAAATAATGGTCAGATTGATCAAAATATATCAGAAATTTTTCCCGCGATTGATGGAACCTTTGGAATTGTTACTACAATTAATAAAAATGTTATAAATAGAGCTCACGATGATTTAATTGATCCAACTGAATCAACATTTGAACTTTATATAACTTTCGTTAGACCAAATAAAAATGTTGTTGATGGGCCATTCTTACTTTATCAAACTTCAGTACCGAGCTTACGAATTAAATCTATTTGTAATTCTGCATATACGACGAAAGGTTATTTTTGCATTTTAAATATAAAAGATGAACAGCCTAATGAAGAACCTAAATATCATTTGGCTAAAATCATATTTCAAAGTACTGGGTTAGTAAAACTAATATTTAATTTTTAATTCAAAAATAATTTATTAATATTTGCCTTAATTGTCATATTTACAGTTCGGTTGTTAATGTAGAAAAATCTTCAAATTTTAAATTATCTAGAGATTTAGAAGAAAACACAGTATTTGATTTTTTATATCATGGTGGTTTTTTAGTAATTATTTTCAACATTTTAGAAGATACCATTTTTAAAACATTTCAAGTAATTATTCTTGATAATAATGGAAATTACAACACCACATTGGACCTTCCTGAAAATATAACAATTGCTAATAGACTTGCAACAAGCGTTTTTCGAAATAGTTATATTGTTGTTCATCAAGATAATTATTATACTTGGACAATTTATTCGGTTGATCTTCCAAAGTTCACTTCTAAAGGTAAATATATAACGATTATCAATAAATGTTTTATTTATACGTTTAAATCCATTAACTTCATCTAATTATTAGACAATGGTTATAATAATCCAAATATTAAAACTACCTATCCAATCATTAATTCTAACGTACCTTTATCAACAATTACCATTAATGTTACTTATAACTTTCCAATAACAATTTCAACAAGTAATATTTCTATTTATCAGAATAATAATAATTATCCTATATTACGACAATCAGTTCCAGGCAACTCTCCGCTTTTATATAGCGTTGATAACAAAACAATAATTTTAGATGTTTTGGAAAGTACATTTAATCAACCAAATGCAAATTATTACATTGTAATTAACGATAATGTTGTTAAAGATTGGAAAACAAATCAGCCTTTAATAGGTATTGAAAGTAATATCTGGAAGTTTAATACTAGTAAGTAAATGTACAATTATATTATTATTCTATTTATAGTAATATTTAGTTAATCAATCAATCTCAATTATAGCTGATTATCAAGATATTTTTGCGGGTAATTAAATTATATTCTATACTTTTAAAAACTTAGTCTCCAAATGTTAATTATATTGTAAATTTCAGAGGATGCAGTTGGTTTATTTTCTTTAACAACTGAAGGAACAAAATATTTCAAAAGTTTATCACCATATATTCAAACGAGATTTTTAACACAATTAAGAATTGATTTAGCAAATTCAATACCTGTCGACGTTAAAAGATTAAATGATATTAATTACGAATATGATGAAAATCAACAAATCTTTTTATCATTATCTATTAAATCAACAACAAATTTAAATGAGAGAAATGTCGATCATATCATGAAAGATTTAGATCTTTTGATTAAATATAAAGAAATTACTCCTATTTCTTGGTTTGGTACGACAAACCTTATCGATACAAGTTTTGGATTTCAACGTATCAGTAAGTAATTAGAATATAGAATTAGGAAACATCCTAATAATTATCATAACTTATTTAAATACTATTATTTAGGTAATATTTTTGATGATGTCAAATTTCATTTAATTGGTATTGTTATAGGAGTAACAATTTTAGGTTTACTTTATTTTTATGCCAGAAAAAAACATTATACGGTAAAGTATTCTACCGGAACTAAATTGCTTAGACCGGATTAAATTTAAATAGAATTAAGGTTAATTGCATTTAACCATATTTCTTTAAATCTATCTTTTAGGGTAAAAATATTGTAATATTTAAATTTTCCTTAATTATTTTGGATTTCATTTTGGATATTTTATTTATTCCGAAGAATGGAAAAAAAGCTCCACAATTATTTATTCCAAGGTATATATAAATGATCAAGAATCTTATTTATTCTTTATAATTAATTTTAATTATTTTTTATTATAGTATAATGTTCTGTGTAATACCAACGGCAATAAATTCCATAATGAGTATGATTATAATTCTTCAAGAAATTACAAAAAATAAAGATTTCTATGAATGGTTTAAAAATAATACCAATATAGCAGTTTTATTTACAATATTAGCAGGAGCTGATCTTGAAGTATTAAATATACTTTCTTCTGAAGTTGCTGGAATAATGATATTTAGTGCTCCTATTACAAAAATAGCACAATATTATATATTTTGGGGGAGTTTCTTAGGATTTTTAATTGAAGATATTCCTCAGTTTATAATACAGGTTAGAAATTTTATAAAATTATTTAATTTATTTATTGTTTTTATTCTAATATAAAATTTTAAACTTTATTTAGATTCTTTACAAAAAGTTTATTGTTACATATGAGATTATTCCTTTTCTTACACTTTTAACAAGTTCTTTAGTTTTGATAAATAATATAATTTCTAAAATATATTATTTAATAGTTCATTTACATGATGAAAAGTAATTGTCAAAAATTACCAATAATAATAATTGATAGAAATTGTGAAAAAAATAATTTACAAATAATTCATAATAAATATTCTATATAAATAATAATATAAAATATTAATTATTTCAATCATTTACAACTTTCTTTAATATGTAATTTAATAATATAAAAAAGAATAGAAATATTAAATTTTAGTTTTATAAAAAATAAATATTTTTATCAAAAAAATAATTATAGTCAAAATTTAATATAACAAATTTGACATTCAGATTGATCAGACCTTTATTATAAGAAATTTGTTAACATTATAATGAATTATTTGGTATAATAAATGATTACTGATTTTATTATACAAATACAGTTTACCTTTGATATAGCAAATTTTAATATAACAAACCACATGATGCTTAATTAATTAAATATGTTAATTTTCCCTCTCTATAATGAAGTAACCAATCAAATCCTTCAAATTTTTTAATAATTTGCTATAATAAAATTGAGGTGCAGAACAACTACTTCGCTATATTAAAAGTAAACTGTATAATTTTACTATAATATAATTTTTATAAAACTATTATACAATAATTAACAGATTACATATTAAATAAAATGTCTAGAATTTACAAAATAACATAACATTATTTTAAGAAAGTTAAAAATAAATTAAAAAATAAAACAAAAGAAAATGAAATAAGACAAAAAAATGAAATTAAAAAAACTAAAGGAAATGAAAAATAAAATTAAGAAATAAAACGAAATAAAAAATAAAATTAAGAAAATAAAATAAAACAAAAAAAAGAAATTTAAAAAATTTAAAAACAAGATTATTGTCTTGTAAATACATTATAATTTTACTTTAAATTTTGTATATTATAGGTTTACCTCATAATAAACAAATTACAATTTCTTCTTTGAGTATGTTTTGATTCTAAAAAAGTAAATATTTTTAATATAAATTTAAAAAATCAATTAAACATTTTTAATTATTAACTGACCTATTTCAAAATCAAATTCTAAAAAGATTATATAATCTTTTTATTATATTGTCACTGTGGAATTCTTCAACTTAAGGTAGTCACATTATCAAATCTCTACTCGAAATTCCTAACTGCAATTTACTATGATCAAAACGTTAGGATTCGCCTAACTCTTAACTTTACCAGATTTACATGTTAAACTTAACAAATCTATCAAGTATGAAGACTTGAAAGTCGAGATTATAAACAATTTTATTTAAAGAATTTAGATGACAAACTCAATTACAAATAATGTGTAGAGATTACGTCAAACTATATGAAGATACAAAGAAGTAGAAAGATATAAGTTTTAAATTGATTCCTTTATTAATATTGAAATTCATATTCGCAAAAGAATTAATTTACAACATAAGCAAAAAGTCGATCTATTTATACAAAATTTCTTTTGTTACAGTTAATTATTTACTATGCTATAAACTAACTAATTTAGCAAAATAAAATATAAGTAAAATAAATATATTGAGAATAATAAAAATATGTAAAATAATAAAAATATAAGATAAAATAAAAATAACAATAAAATTTAGAATATTAAAAATACGTATAACATTAAATATTCTTAGACTTTATTTAACTTGTAAAATTATAATTATCATCAGTATTTAGAAATCTTTAGAATTATATAGAGATGTTCACTTTAGATAAGTCTTGGGCTTGATTTTTAGATGACTCACACTGAAGCTTCTTCTCCTTATTTCTCTGCCTTATACTATCACTAACATTTTTCTTATTTACCTCATCCAAGAAAATATCTGTCTTTCTATCTTCTGATGGCTTAGAGCTGACAGATACAAGGTTATCTATAGATAACCACACTTCTGGTATCACATTATTTATTTTACAAATAGGTGAATGGACCATTACAGATTCTATTATGTCGATACGTTCCTTGAAAGAGAAATCATTCTGTGGCTGTCTGAACTCTTGTTCTAATTTCGCAACTTTAGCCTTAAGTTTAGCATTCTTGGCTGAAGTACCTACAATATTTTTTTTCAATTCCTCAATTCTGACTTTATGCTCAGCATTCTCAGCATCACGTCTAGCATTCTCCTCAATAATATGTCTCAATTTTACGTTTTCAGCCTCAATCTCAGCAACCTTTTTTCTAAGTTCAGAAATCTCAGCATTCTAGGTCTCAAGCTCAACTTTTTCTGCCTTAATCTTAACGTATTTAGCCTTAAACTCAGTAAAATATCGCCTCAATAAATCCATTTTAGATTGCAAATTAACTTACTATAATATTTTTATATTCAATATATTAGTATTCAAATCAGTAAAAAATGTAAAATCTGTTCTAATAGTTCTGGTAAATTTATAACACTCAAATGTGCCATAAATAATATATGCTGTATCTTTAACAAAAAATAAAATTATGCATATTGGTGATGAATCTAGCAAAATTTACTAAAGACGTATTGCTAGTAGCTATAAATATTAATAATATCAGATATTTCATCATTTTCTGTAGACTCTGATTTTGGATCTGAATTGTGCTCATCTTTAGGGTCAGAATTTTCTGATTTTATATCACTTATAGCATAATTATCACCTACATCAAGGTGGTCAGATTCTTGTCTTAATGCGATTCTCAAAAGTAGTTTAAGATGCTGAAGAGTTGGGTTCTTACTACTATGGATTCTGGAAGTATGTTTACTTCCATAATCTCTTAATTTTTTAGGTATAATTTTATAAGGTTCTTGCTTTAAGAATTCATTAAATAACCAAGTATTACGTGTTTTACTTTTAGTAAAGACAGGGTCAGATAACTTTTTAGCCTTAATTGCATCTTGAATTTAGGTAAGCAATTCTTTTATGCGTTCTGAATTCTTTTCCATAGAAAGAAATAGTCAAAGATCAGGATTCTTCTTCTTTTCTCCTCTGTTCTTTAAATAGCTAGTACAGTACTAAGAATAGCTCTCTTTATACTATGATGGAATGTTTGAAGAGTCCAGTTTATAGATATTGATCTAAAGAGAACTTACTTCTGCAGGTCTCATACTCAACATTACTATTACATCTGCAAGATTCTCTCTAATAGGAATTTTGGAAATATCCATATTCTGAATCCTTTTACTCAGATTTGCTAAGGAGAAATATATGGAAATTCTGTCTGAATTAACCATTCACTTTTTAGTTCGTTCTTTCTGAATTTTATTAGAATCTTAGATAAGATTCTTGTCTTTGGCAAATTCTTCAATAATTGCAGGACTTACACCACCTTCTACTAACTTCACATGAAATGTTGACTGGCGTGAGATATTGGCAATGATTTCCTTTTCATCTTTATTTTTCAGATCCACTGTCTAATGATTAATGATAATGTCTACAAAATCATCAGCTTTAGCACAGTATTCTGCCCTTCCCTTAATGGTGAGGTTTTTCTTTCTTTTATCTGGTATAAAAGCATCTATTTTCTCTTTACTAAATGAACGTCTATTATTAGTACCATTGGTAAAGACAACTTTAACACACCTGCGGGTCATCTAATCAGGAAGCAAAGTATCAAGTTCTGAAGCATATTTACTTAATTGTTCTGGGGTGGAGTCAGCTGACAAATTATGCTTTTCTAAGAATTGCTCTAAGACCAATATAAAGTTATTAGCTTTAGGTTTTCAGGTCTTTGAGGTAGTCGTTTTGGTAGCTATATTAATATTAATTATTATCTAGTTATATTATGTGAGAAAAATTCAATTCGAAAAATTTCTTCAATCATAGATTTCAGGATATCATATAGTAGAGGGTTGAAAGAAAGAAAAAAATAATAATATAACTCACGCAATCCTAAAGGGACTAGCTTTGGCTAGCATTAAATATGGAAAATATGTGATACATTTTTGAATATTTATAATAAAAGTGAAGACAAAATTTTAAGAATATTAATATTAACATTATCTCATATAGGCCATTTTATCTACTAATATATTAAGAAAGATGGTTTAATTTGTGGGAAAGGATGCATAAGTGATTTAGGATGTTCCAGACATTATAAAGCCCATCTTAAAATAATATGCCTTATCTGTAATGAGCTAACCTATTCTAATACTGGAATCTGTAGCATGCATGGTAGATTTTATGACCGTGTCTGACGTGAAAATAAAAAAAATAAAATAGAATCAGCGGGAGTTTACAAAGTAAACATGTCCCCATCTGATGTAGTCAAGATACTTATCTAAATAATAAATAATCTGGACTGAAGTATTATTTTTCCTGTCCTATAAAATTAAAGAGTTTCTAAATATCATTATTTGTTTTTAGCCTATATGGTGAAAGTTCTAGTGTGCTTTTATCTTTAAAACTAAGACTATTATATGGCTGATGATTAATTTTGTATGAATATTCCCAAACTCGTTGTTTCTTGGGATCTATTTTTTTCTGACTACTTTTAACTATATAGCCATATTAATTATCAGCAATTGTATTGATTATTTTTATAGCTAATATAATATCAGGCTTTTCTTTTGCACAAGACTTAATGTCAAAGAGTAATAAAGACTGACTTCAGATTTTTATAAATCTTTCACACAATTGAGCAAATGCTTCTGAAACAATATTATCTGAAAGAATACATATATCATCAATGTCAGTAAAGCCTAGTATTTAAAAGAGTTCTCTTATAACTTTCTAATGATTAGTTAAATATGATTTGTGCAAATCCTCCATTACTGATTTCTCAGAATTATATCTAGCTTTATAATAGATATCTTCCTATTGTGCAATATCTTTGACCTTTAATCCTTTCATTGCATTTTCCTCATTATAGCCTTGCTTTTAAAAGTGAGATAACTGTAAGAAATATTTCTGAAGTTCAGGTGGACTGAAATAGTTTACAAACTTTTTATTACAAAGAATATCTTAAATCTTATCATCTATATCTTTACCATAAATATTTTGCATATAGAAACATTTAAGTACCATAGTATCTAAGATAGAGCATTCTTGATCAAATTTAAGATTTTCAGTTTTTTTAGGATCAAGATTTTGGAAAGTAACAATCACATCAAAATCTGTTTCCTTGATAACTAATGCTTCAACCCTAACCTCATTACGGACTTTTTTATAATTTCTTATAACACCTTGGCTTTCATCCATTTTTATTAGCTGAAGAAAAACACCAATACTAGCTATAAGACTATAAAACTTTTCAATAAAGTATCTCGCAGAAAGGCATTTCTGATGCTCAACTTCAATGAATATTATTACAGCAGGAGATTCGTCGATTTTATAAGAAACGACATTACTATTTTATTTACAATAACCTTTTATTGCTATAGGTAAGTTATTAGACTGAACACTTACAAGCTCTGCCTGAATATTTTTATGACCTGGCAGGTGAAAAAGTTCGTTAGAATTTTCTGATAGAATATAGAAATAATATGACGAGAACAATTACGAATTTGATAAAGCATTTGTGTAAGAGCTTCGATATAAATTGGAGTGGTGATATTTGTAATAGCTATAACTATATCAAAGTGACTTATAACCTCGAATGATATTTTCACCTTTACTGTATTTATATAAGCTATATAGTTAAGCTCGCTTAAGAGACATTAATATCAGAAAAGTCTTTTTGTCGCTGTTTTCCATCCATATTTCTATAATATGCATGTGCTCTAATAGGTGAATTATCAGACTTAGATAACTTAGTTACTTTTTCTACTAATGCTCTAGCTATCATCACTCTGGTAGATACAAATGCTACACGTTTACCTACTTTAAAAGGTCATATCCTATTCGCATGGCTTTTGCTTCACTATTTTGATCATAAATAAATTCAACCATCTCACCTATATGAGGCTGATACTTATTATCAACTATATGAATATTTTCACCACGATAAATTTGAAGGAAGGTTAATATTGAGATATTTGCGAAGGCATCTATAGTCAAAACATGTCTCACAGTTCTTAAGATATCACGCATTGTATTTTCAGATTCTCGTGCATTTGTACTGCTAGACATTTAGCGTATAATAGCATTAGTTTTATTGAGAATAGCTACAAATAGACAAGCTGTAAATTTGACATGAAAGAGACTCTCAACCTGTATTATGATAATATTTCACTCATTTATAGATAAGTCTCCTTGTATATTTTAATAGTTGCAAATTTAGAAGCCAGATGCTTTTAACTCATTAAGTTTGGATTTTGATTCATTGCTAAAAGACTTTTGGTAAGAGATTCAGATATAATATGGTAAAGAAGAAATATCATGTACTTTATCTTTCAATGCCATAATAATCTTTCTTAATGCAGTAGTTTTCCATGTTCCTAAGACGAACGAATAAGTGTTGTTATTTTCTCAATACCTAAGAAATCAGGATATACTTCTGGAGCATCCTTTAATTTTTTACATTAATCATCATTTCTGATAATCCTACAAGAGGATGTGAATTTAATATAGCATCACCTATTCTTTCAACTATTCCTTTTTTAGGTTTTGCAGAAACTTCAGTTACTTTTTCAAATACCAATCCCTTATGATCTAGTTTATAATTTTTCTGCCAATAACATTTGAGTACAAAACAGCTGTTACTTTGAAGAAAGCCATATAAACTGATCTTTTTTCATGTTTGATATTACAAATGAGACATGCTTCTAATGACTGAGCTTAAAAGTTAATAAATTCCTTTCTAATGTCACTAATTTCAAGCCATCCTTATTTTGCAGTAACTTTGACTAGCTCCCTTGCTTAAAGCAGTTTCATCTTCAATAGATTGAAATTCTTCTTTTTCTGGCTTTTCAGAGAAAAAGGTTCAGGGTCAGATTTCAGAATAATTGGATTTAGGCTGAACTAGATAATTTTCTAGCTTGTAATATCCTTTTTTAATTGAAGAAATCACAGGTCTTTTAATTATATCTCCCTTTGCTGATCCAAGAAGATGAAGGCTAAGCGAGATTTATAAAGGTCAAAATCAATAAAAATTGAGTATGACTTTCTAACTTTATTAGCAACTTTTTTTACAAAACTCTCGAAGTCTCTATAATCAATAAAATAGGCATAAGGATATATGATATGCCAACTGCATTTATTAGCATTAGACGAATTGGCTAAGGCAAAAGCGTCTAATATTATGAAATGATTTAAATCAGAATTTATAATATCAGTGCAGGCAATTAAGATTCTGGATAATAAATCTTCGCGAGAAATTTTATATTTATCTAAGGAAGAGAGTTCGGGATTCATGGGATCGGAATACTGTCTTGCGACAATATCCAGAATCAGGCAAAGAGGCAGATTCCCATCAATGCATTCGTGAGTATCAGGAAACCCATAAACTTCTGATGGATGATCAACTACTATAAAACCCTTTCCTGCTACTCAAATAATATATTTTGAATAAATTTCTTCAGGATGATAGGCTCCTAGAAGAGAAATATCATTTTTATTATTAGACAAATATTGAAAGTATACATGATCATTATAGCCAAGTTCAAAATCAAGGTTCGCTAACCCTAAAAAGAGCCTGATTGCTTCGTTTATTGTTTTAGGGCAAGGCCCAGCATTTTTTTACGCAAGTAGCATAGTAGCATATGCAAGAAATCAGTATAAAATTACATAGAAACTTGTAAATCTTCAAAATAAAATTTTATATAATTTTGAGCGAATGCACTTGCTGGCAAAATACTGGATCAGTGGTAGTACCTAAAAGTAATCAATATAATAATACCTAAAAATAATCGATGTAGTAGTACTCCAAAGTATCCCAGTATAGAAACTATACAAGAAAGAATTCTAGGAAGGCTCAGGCAAAAACTGGGTATAAATTTGGTAGTACACCAAAGTAGAATAATATATAGGAAGAAAATAAGGAGTTATGCTTTGGTGTACTACCGCCGATAGGCAGGAAAGAGATCGGGAAGGTAGAAAGATTCAGGAGAATACACGAAAAAAGGTATGAAAGCAATATAGCCTGAACTAATTCAGCACTTCGTGCCTCAT